CCCCACACCTCTCACACGGTTCGTGTCCCCGTAGGCAGCTCCACCGAAGGCTTCAGTGCCACCGTCCACATGCGTCCCCCGCACCCATTTCGGCGCACCGCTCACACGTTTCGTGGCCCCATAGGGAGCCCCACCGAAGGCCCCAGTGCTACCGTCCACATGCACCCATTTCGGCACACCCCTCAAACGCTTCGTGGCCCCATAGGGAGCTCCACCGAAGGCCCCGGACCTCCGTCAACAGGCGCCCCCCACACCCATTTCAGCACACCCCTCACACGTTTCGTGGCCCCATAGGGAGCTCCACCGAGGGCTTCCGCCGTCCACATGCGTCTCCCATACATATTTCGGCACACCCCTCACACGTTTCGTGGCCCCACAGGGAGCTCTACCGCAGGCCCCAGTGCCACCGTCCACATGCGTCCCCCACACGCATTTCAGCATACCCCTCATACGATTCGTGGCCCCATAGGGAGCTCCACCGAAGGTCCCAGTGCCACCGTCCACATGCGTCCCCCGCACCCATTCCGGCACACCCCGCACACGTTTCGTGGCCCCATAGGGAGCTCCACCGAAGGCCCCAGTGCCACCGTCCACATGCGTCCCTACATTCATTTCGGCACACCCTTCACATGTTTCTTGGCCCCATAGGGAGCTCCACCGAAGGCCTCGGTGCCACCGTCCACATGCGTCTCCCGCACCCATTTTGGCTTACCCCTCACACGTTTCGTGACCCCACAGGGAGCCCCACCGAAAGCTCCAGTTCTACCGTCCACATGCGTCTCCCGTATCCATTTCGGCACGCCCCTCACAAGATTTGTCGCCCCATAGGGAGCTCCACCGAAGGCCCTGGGCCTCCGTCCAGAGGCGTCCCCCACATCAATTTCGGCACACCCCTCACACGCTTCGTGGCCCCATAGGAGCTCCACCGAAGGCTTCCACCGTCCACATGCGTCTCCCAAACTCATTTATGCACACCTCTCACACGCTTCATGGCCCCGTAGGGAGCTCCACAGAAGGCCCCAGTGCCACCGTCCACATGCGCCCCCCGCACCCATTTCGGCACACCTTTCAGACGTTTCGTGGCCCATAGGGAGTTCCACCGAGGGCCCCAGTGCCACCGTCCACATGCGTCCCCCACACCCATGTCGGCACACCCCTCACACGTTTCGTGGCCCCACAGGGAGCTCCACCGCAGGCCCCAGCGCCACCGTCCACATGCGCCCCCCACACTCATTTCGACATACCCCTCATACGATTCGTGGCCCCATAGGGAGCTCCACCGAAGGCCCCAGTGCCACCGTCCACATGCGTCCCACACACACACACACACACTTCGGCACACCCGTCACACGATTCGTGGCCCCGTAGGGATTTCCACCGAAGGCCCTTGTGCCACCGTCCACATGCGTCGCCCGCACCCATTTCGGCGAACCGCTCGCACGTTTCGTGGCCCAATAGGGAGCCCCATCGAATGCCCCAATGCTACCCTCCACATGCGTCCCCCGCGCCCATTTCGGCACACACGCTTCGAGGCCCCATAGGGCGCTCCGTGGAAGGCCCCAGTGCCACCGTTCACATTCGTCCCCCCCCCCACACCCATTTCAGCACACTCCACACACGTTTCGTGGCCCCACAGGGAGCTCCAACGAAGGCTTCCGCCGTCCACATGCGTCTCCCACACCCAGTTGGGCACACCCCTCACACGTCTCGTGGCCCCGTATGGAGCTCCACCGAAGGCCCCAGTGTCACCGACCACATGCGCCCCCCGCAGCCATTTCGGCACACCCCTCACACTTTTCGTGGCCCCGTATGGAGCTCCACCGAAGGCCCTAGTGCCACCGTCCACATGCGTTCCCCACACCCATTTCGGCATACCCGCACACGTTTCGAGGCCTCATAGGGAGCTCCACCGAAGGCCCCAGTGCCACCGTCCACATGGGTCCCTACATTCATTTCGGCACACCCCGCACACGTTTCGTGGCACCGTACGGAGCTCCACCGAAGGCCCCAGTGCCACCGTCCACATGCGTCCCCCGCACCCATTTCGGCACACTCCTCACGCGTTTCGTGGCTTCATTGGGAGCTCCACCGAAGGCCCCAGTGCCACCGTCAGCACGCGTCACCCGCACCCATTTCGGCACACCCCTCGCACGCTTCGTGGCCCCATAGATCGCGCCTCCGAAGAAGATATTTACAATTGCGGTACGCACATCTGCATATGGTTGGATCCTTCGCCAGGTTTATTGTTTGTATGTTCTAGTTGTGAGCTCGTGGACCTGGCCTCCCGAGTTGCACACGACCGCACTGAGTCGACTGCGCGTAAGAGTGACCTTTCGCCGTAGTGACCTTTGGTGGTGCCGGAAGGCGTCCCTCGCCGAGCGCGATTCGGCAGTGCAGTGGAAACCCATGCCAAGAAACACCCTGCTTGCCTCCAGGGTGCCCTGGGTGTCTTGGGATTCGATGGCTTTGCTATGGAAAGCGTAACGCTCCCACATCAGGCATCAGTGGGCGCTCTGGTGCCTCCAGGTTGGGCTTCTTATGGAATATTTCTGGTGGTCGAGCTCCTACTGTTGTATGGCAACGTGGCCCTCAGAAGGGTCTCGTGTTCTCTCGCGTATCCCCTCCCATCAAGTCCGACTGCAGAGCTGATCGTGCAGGGTGTTCTGCCGCAGGGGCGTACGTGTGCGAAGTCCCTTCCCGACCACATCCGCGGGGCCGCCTCTTTACGGAGGGCAGCGCCTCAGGACGGAGCTCGCCCGCTGCGCCCCCGCCCGACGTTCTCCTCGCCCTGGCTGCGTCTTGGTCTGGGCCCTCCCCCCGCTCGTCCGCCTGCAGGCGCGGCATCGCACAGCGCGCCGCGGAGCTCGTCTCTGAGGGGGGCTCAGCAGAAAAACTTCTGGAGCGACCTGAAGTACCAGGCGGGCTTCGGCAGTGACGACGAGGCTCGGGTCCCACCCCCCCCATGGGGGAGCAGGAGGGGGCATGGCGGCATTGCGCCGCCGCAGCACGTCGGCGACGCCGGCGCGGCGGTGCCCCGGTTGTGGGGCCCATGGATCGGCGGCGAGCGAGGGGGGAAGTGAGAAAATCGAAGAAGAAACATCTGCACAGACAGAAAGTTTTGGCGCTCCGCGCGGAGTTCTTGGATCCGCGCTGGGCACCCCCGTCGGCGCTTGCGGCGCCGCCCCTGCTGCGCTACGCGCGGAGCGCCCAATAGCTTATGTTAATGCTGTTTGTTCTTTTCTAGAAGGAGAAGACCCTCTTAGAAGGCAGCGGGGCTTCTCAGAAGCCTTCGCGCCTTCTGAGAAGTGTTATGTGTCTTCGGGGGAAGCTTTTTAAACACTTCCCAGAAGGCTGAGCCTTCTGAAATGGCCCGCCCCTTCGCGCGTCCCCTCTCGCTCGCCGCGAAAGTGAGAACACCGCACGGCGCGACCTCGGTCAGAGTGTCGAATCATCAGGGCGTGGGGTTGTCGAGGGGAGGTTCGGGAGTCGTGCTCCAGGGGCCCAAGCAGACCCTTGCTGCAGGATTCCTTGGGACATGTTGGCCCTGGATGATCAGGCCAGTCTGGTGGAATATTGTGGCAGTCTTGGGGTGGTCTTGAGCTGTCTTGGGGCCGCCAATGTATCGCCGATGCATTGCCAATGCGGCGCGGTCCTCCGACCCCATCTACGCCGCAACCATCCAAGAGGCCTCGATGAGAAGACGTATATTACAATGTCGTTTTTTCTCTCAAGGGGGAGGTCAGGTAGCCAGTGAAGGGCACGGCGTGGGTGCCCCCCGCTCGGGCTCGGGCGACCAAGTGAACGTCCCTCGGATGAATCAGCGAAGGGCTGCCATCTCACTTCCAACAGAGGTACTGTCCAAATCTCTCGTGGTTGTCATGCTCCACTTGCCAAGCCCAATGTGTACCTTTTCTATATGTTGCCACTCATCCATCTTGCTACCCTCTGCGGGCAGGGTACCAGGAACGTTTGCAAGGCCTGCGCTTTGCCGTGCTTGCAATCCTCTAGATGATACTACTTACCGATTGCATTTCGCATTGGAGCAATTCTTCTTTCTTCCTCGTATACCCTCCTTCCCCTCCCCACTTCTCCGGGCTTCTTTTCACCACTCTTCCCTCGTCATTGCGATGGGGGCCTTTGTTAAGTAATGCGTCCAGAAGACTTCAGACCCTGGAGGGTTTCTCATCTGATGAGGGCGGCGGTGATATCCATGGCCAAACCTCGATTGGAGATCCACTGGCTTCCAGACCCTGGATTCCTTATCGAAGGTTTCCTTATCCAATGCCTCCACTGTGTTCCTGCTCCTGCTCCTGATTGGAGCCGCTTCTCGAGCTCTTCTCGCAAGTCTTGCTTTTACTTCCTCTGCCGCCCCAACTCCCTCCAGGCCACCCATCCCAGCCTGTCCTCCATCCCAGAAGGAGCACGAGGAGGAGGAGGAGGAGGACCTGTCCCATCCTGCTGCCCTTCGCATCATGTGCGCCTGTCACATCCTGCTGTCCCCTCCCTCTGTCCCACCACGCTGCCCTTCGCTTGTCCTTCTTCCTTTCCGACTCCTGGCCACATTCTGCCCTACGCTTCTCCCTCGCTACTCGACCCCCTTCGGATTCTCACTACGGTGGGGGCGTTCGTCAAGGAATGTGTCCAGGAGGTTTCAGATCCTGGAGGATTATTTATCTGATGAGGGCGGCGGTGATGTCCATGGCCAAGCTTCAGTTGGTGTCCCGCTGGCCTACAGACTCCAAGGATTCCTCATTCAATGGTTTTTGTGATCCACTGCTCTGGCCATCCAGTCGGACCGAGGCAAGATCGAGGTCGGTTCAGGGAGGGTAATTCGCCAAAGTTTCTTCGTGCTTGTCGGATGTTCTTGGGCATCCTGGGTGAGGGTACCCTCGAATGCTCTTCATGTTTGGCAAGCGGAGGGTTTCATCAGGTTCTCGGAGGATGCCCTTCTGTCCTAGGTCCAGCTGCCTCCTCCTCATCCTCCTCCTCCCTTTTGGCCTCGGCGCCCCTGGTTGGGCCCCCGCCGAGCCCCGCCCTGGCTGGCAGCCCCCGGCCGGCAGACTCCCCGCGGCCGGCAGCGCCATGCAACGGCCCGCGGACCCGCCCGCCCCGACGCCTGGGCAGCTCAGCTCAGTGGTTCAAAGATGGGGTCCTGAGCTCAGTGGGCCCTGGAAACGACAGGGCCGTTTTTTTACCGGTTCCGTTTTGCCGTTTTTTTGCCAGTTCCTACGCCGTTGTTTTACCGGTTCCGTCGCCGTTTTTTGACCGGTTCCGGCTCTGGTTCCAATCCTGGAGCCGTTATTGTTGCCGTTTCCGGTGGCCGTTCTTTTGCCGTTTCCATTTTCAAGGGGCATTTTTTTGGAAACGGTGAAAAACGGCCCTGCCGTTTCCAGGGCCCACAAAGGTCCTGAGGGTCCGAGGAGGAAAAGGTATCCATACCTCTACCCTTCCCTCCTGGTTCCCTTTTTGGGCCTCCTGGGAGGCCCTGGTCGCCACCGCTGGATTCGCCTCGACGTTCTGGTCAGAACGCACCCCGCCAGAGGCCTGGGGAGTAGCGATGTCGGTACCTTTTGGTTTACCCAGAAGGCTGGGGTCAGATATCCAGCCGCTCCCATTTCTGTGGATGCGTGGGCCCCGGAGGCCTCTTCCCTAGGGCTGGTGTTTCTTCCCGAGTTTTTTTGTTGAAGAAGGTGCCGAGGCCCAGCGAGGGCCCCCTGAGACCGAAGACAACCCAAAACCCGCCAGTCCAAGCTTTTGGGGGCGTCTGATCTCTGGGTAAATCTGGAGGTCGGAAAGGGGTGAAACATAAAGGGATGTGGTGCCAATGCTGAGTCTGGAGATGTCTATCGTAGATAGCATCTCGATTTACACGATTGGCACCACACCCCTTTATGCCACACTCCTTTCCTACATCCAGAGTAAAGACGAGGTGCCTCGCAGGCGGTTTTTCTCCCCCAAGCCCAGAGTTCCGCCCGAAAAGTTCGGCCGCTCGGACAAGGGAGAAGCCCTGGGGTGCACCACAGGAGGGCTATCCGGACGCACCACCACTGAGGATGGGGACGCCCCCCCACCCTATGTCCCAGGGCTGGGCCCCACATGTTTTGCCCCCTCGGGAATCTCCCACAGCCCGGGAGAGGGGCTAGTGGAAAGAAGGATACAGTCGGGGCTCTGAAGAAGGAACCCTTTTCGTTGGGGAGGGGCTCCGCGTTCCTCAAGTGTTTCGCAGCTTGACTCGGGTTTTCCTTATGTTCTCGATCGGAAATCGAAGGCTAACTTATGAAAAAAAGGGGCCTCGTTCCTTATTTAGGGTTCCTCAGGTCAACGCCCCGATTGAAACATGAGCAGACAAACTCGAAGGTCCGCGCAGAGTTCTCGGGTCGGCGCTGGAGACCCCCTCCCTGGCGCGCGGAGCGCGCCAGGGGCGGAGCCTGGAGGCTCCGCCAGGGGGCTCCGGCGCCGACCCCCGAGGAGTCCGCGCGGGCCTCCGGGTATGTGTGTTATGTCATTGTTCGTCCCCTCCTCCTGAGTCTGCTCCTCCTCCTCCTCCTCCTCCTCCTCCTCCTCCTCCTCCTCCCCCTCCTCCTCCCGCTCCTCCTGCTGCTCCTGCTGCTCCGCCTCATCCTCCTCCTCCTGCTCCATCTCCTCCTCCCCTCGGAAATCTCCCACAGCCCAGGAGAGGGGTCGACACATCCCCAGTCCGTGCCCCGCCCAGCGCAAAGCAACCGTCGGCGCCCTTCCTCCACCCACAGGTCGGGCATGTCACCCTGCAGGCGGATCCTGGAGGAAAAATGAAAAATGATCAAACCAAATCAGAGGGAGGTGGCCGAGCGGTCATTCATTGTCCCTGGGTGCGTGGCTGAATAAGGAATTCTTGATGAGAATTCTGCTTGTTGCGTTGTTGTTGCTGTTGGATGTTAATTACGAAACAAGTGTTATTGTTGGACCCCTTACAGGCGCCCTGGCGCTCTCGCCGAGGTGCCAGCTATATTTTCATTGAAAATGAGGTTCACGCTCGAGTGGTTTGGGGGACCGCCAAAACCGGCCCCCCAACAACAACAACGCTCCCGCTCGAGACTTCCTTCTTTAAAATCAGGGCTAGTGTTTTTGCTCGCCGCCGAAAGCCGCCGTCCTAACAAAACCAGCGCTCCCGCTCGAGATGTTGCTTCCGTTTTACCTTGGACTGGCGCGCTAGTCTTTCTCTCATCGGCGCCGCCCCCAGCAAAAGCAACGCTCCCGCTCGAGGCTTCCTCCCTTTTTTACTCAAGGCGGTGCTCCTCCTCGCCGCCGCCGAAAACCACCGCCCCGACAAACCCAGCGCTCCCGCCCGAGACTTCCTTCCGTTTTACGCTGGACTTGCGCCCAACTCTATTTTGAATTGGCGCCGCTCCCAGCAAGAACAACGATCCCTCTCGAGGGCGCCTTCTTTTTCCTGAAGATGGTGCTGTTCCTCGCCGCCGACAACCCCTTTCCCGACAAAACCACGTCTCCCGCTCGATGCTTCCTCCCTTCTTACTCACGGCAGTGTTCCTCGTCGCCTCCGAAAACCGCCGCCCCGACAAAACCAGCGCTCCCGCCTGAGACTTCCTTCAGTTTTACGCTGGACTTGCGCCCAACTCTATTTTGAATTGGCGCCGCTCCCAGCAAGAGCAACGATCCCTCTCGAGGGCGCCTTCTTTTTCCTGAAGATGGTGCTGTTCCTCGCCGCCGACAACCCCTTTCCCGACAAAACCACGTCTCCCGCTCGATGCTTCCTCCCTTCTTACTCACGGCAGTGTTCCTCGTCGCCTCCGAAAACCGCCGCCCCGACAAAACCAGCGTTCCCGCCTGAGACTTCCTTCAGTTTTACGCTGGTCTGGCGCCCTACTCTCTTTTTGAATTGGTGCCGCTCCCAGCAAGAACAACGCTTCTGCTCGAGATTTATTGTTTTTGTCCTTCAGGACGGTGCTGTTTCTCGCCGCCGACAGCCCCCGTCCCGACAAAACCACGGCTCCCGCTCGATGCTTCCTCCCTTCTTACTCAAGGCGGTGTTCCTCCTCGCCGCCGAAAGCCGTCGCCCCAACAAAACCAGCGTTCCCGCTCGAGACTTCGTTTTGTTTTACGCTGGTCTGGCGCCCTACTCTCTTCAGCATTGGCGCCGCTCCCAGCAATAACAGTGGCTCTGCTCGAGACTTCCTCCCTTTCTCTATTCAGGGCCGGGTCCTTGCCTCACCGCCGACAGCCCCCATCCCTACCAAGGCAATCCTGTCGTTCGATACTTTCTTGTGCTTTACCCTTCGCTGGGGTTCCACTGGCGGTCTCGCATCGGCGCAGCAAGGCGCGGGCATGTGTTCTCGAGGCGGGATATGCTGAAATTCCTCGGAGGAGGTGTTTGCAAGACCTCATTGGGCGAGTGATCTGAGAATGGGAATAACGGACCCCGCGATAGAACACAAGCCCCCCATGATATGAATGGTTACCATGAGGGTAAAATGATTGTTGTTGCTGTCGTTGTCGGTGTCGTTGTCGTTGTTGCTGCTGTTGTTGCAACCCGCGACCTACCTGCGACCCACCCCGCGACCCACCCGCGACCCACCCACGACCCACCCACGACCCACCCCGCGACCCACCCGCGACCCACTCCGCGACCCATCCACGACCCATCCACGACCCACCCGCGACCCACCCGGCGACCCACCCGCGACCCACCCCGCGACCCACCCTCAAGGGAGGAAAAACCACCCGGACCCGACAAACAATTGACGTTTGCTAAACGTCTTGGGCGTTGATTGAACAGCCCTGCCCTGTTCGGTTCAGTCCTTGTGTGCGTTTACTAAACGGGTTCGCTTGTCGGGGTACTTCGTATGGGGTGGATTTTCTTCCCTCTGCACCCGCGACCCACCCGCGACCCAACAGCGACCCACCCGCGACCCACCCGCGACCCACGTGCGACCCAGCCGCGACCGACTCACATCGGTTTAACTAAAATTCGGCGCCTGCGGCGGGTTCGTTGTATAATTTGTAAAACTTTGGCGCCTGCGGACGTCCCCACCGCTGCCTCACTCTTATCCGCATCTGCGGGGTGCTGCGGTATTGAAAAATGGGCGAACAACTCGTCCCCCTACTATTCCCAACCATCCTGTGATGTTGGGTCTTCATTTTGAAGAGACAGCCTGACAGCGCCCCGCGTCCCTCCCTCCCGCCTCCTCCTTCTTCTCCTCCTCCTTCTCCTCCTCCTCCCTCCTCCCCCTCCTTCCTTCTCCCAGTCCTTGCCCCTGCCTTCACAATGTCTATGTTTCAACACATCCTTCACACGTTTCGTGGCCCTATAGGGAGCTCCACCTATGGCCCCACTGGCGCAGCTCGCATTGCGCCGCCGCCCCATTTCGGCACACACACACACACACCACACGTTTTGTGGCCCCATACATGCCCCACCTAATGTCCCAGTGGCGCAGCTCGCATGGCGCCGCCGCCGCCGCCCCGTTTTGGCACACACCTCGTACGCTTCGTGGCCCCATAGGGAGCCCCACCGAAGGTCCCAATGGCGCAGGCGCCGCCTCCCCACTTTGGCACACCCTTTTTCACGTTTCGTTGCCACATAGGGAGCTCCACCTAAGGTCTCACTGGCGCAGCTCGCATGGCGCCGCCGCCCGCCGCCCCATTTTGGCACACCCTTATATTTTTCGTGGCCCCACAGGCAGCTCCACCGAAAGCCCCAGTGGCGCAGTTTGCATCGAGTTCTTCCTGGCAGGGCCGCCAGAGGCTTGCGGAAGCAGCTGGAGCAGTCTGCCATGCGCACGAAACGGGGCAGGAGGGAGGCGGCGGCCCTCGCCAGGGAGTTGAGCTTCACCATGTTTATCCGCGAGGCTTGACCTGAGGAGCGGCCCGCCCGAGCCTCGCCGTCTCTCGACGCGGCGACCCGCGCGCGTCGCTTGGACCTTCTCGGGGCGACCAGCGCGCGTCGCGGGCATTCCGCGCTGCACCGAGATCTGGAAACAACAAATCATTGTTGTTTGCACTTGGCGCCCCAACTCCTGCGACAAGGGTCGCTGCAGAGTTGTTTTCTTCAAGAGCGCAAGCATAGAGTGCTGAAGCGCTACGCGAATGATCGTAGGAATACCAAGTCGTACGAGAGAGGCCTCCTCGAGGAGGTGACTGGCTTTCACCTCCATCACCTTCGCACCTGTCCCGTGAAAAGGTGACTTCGTGGATCCAAGACCTGCGACGAAGCAGATCGCGTCTGCCCTTTCGGAGCGCGGCTTCGCCTCCTGCCACGGCGCCGAGACAGCGCGCGTAGCTCGTTGCAGGGGCCGAGCCGTGTGTGTTGACGACGTCGTGGCGTATGAGTCCGACGACGGCATTGTGTTTGGGCGTTGTTTGTTTCACGCCAAGGTGGACGGGGCAGTCTGGAGCTGCGTGTCTCGCTGGCCCACTGCCGAGTCCACGGGGTCTTTGGCAAAATGCATCGTTCGGGACGACATGCCTGTTTTAATTAGTACTGCCTTGATCGTGGAGCCATGTATTGATTGGCTCTGCGCCGCTGGTGGGATATCCAGCGTACTGGTGCCAGGGAGGGTAAGGCCTGCAGGCTGAGAAGCCGCGGGCGCCATTCTGGCTTATGGGGCGGCGGGTGCAATGATGATGAGGGGCAGGGAGGATGAGGAGGAAGAGGAGGAGGAGGAGGAGGATCATAAGGAGGAAGAGGATGAGCAGGAGGAGGATGAGGATGATGAGGACGAGGAGGATAATGATAACGAAAACGATGCGACGATGACTCGACTCGAGGGGATCACGCCTGTCCTTTTGTACTATTCGGCGGAAGCTCGTCGTTGTCGAGCTCGTCGTCGAGCTCGTCGTCGAGGGGCGACGAGTCGACACGCGTCGCACTTCTTGGATTTAGCTACTCAGAAAATGAAAATTGTCTCTCCTGATCTGACCCCCTTGTAAACGTGAGCTAACTGTGAAGGGGGAATGCTCGGGGGTATCTGACGCGCCGCGAGAACGACGGCGGGGCCATCGCCCCCGTGCCCCCACCTTTCCATGCGGAGGGGGGGCCATGGAAGAACAATGAGGAATGATATAAGAAGAATGAAGATGAGGAGGACATGGAGGAGAAGGAGAAGGAGGAGCAACAGCAGCAGCAGCAACAGCAGTAGCACGCGGAGGAGGAGGAGGAGGGCGGAGAAGGAGAAGGAGGAGGCGAAGGAGGAGGAGGAGGAGAGGACTGACAATGAGGAGGAGGAGGAGGAGGAGGAGGAGGAGGAGGAGACGGAGGAGGAGACGGAGGAGGAGGAGGCTCGAGGAGGAGGAGGAGGAGGAGGAGGAGGAGGGGGCTTCCCGTTGGTCGTCGTCGCACGCCCTGCGAGAGAGGGAGGAGAGAGAGAGAGAGAGAGACAGACAGACAGACAGACAGACAGACAGAGAGAGAGAGAGAGAGAGCTCTGCACGCGCCTCGCGCGTCTTCCGAGACTTTCCAGGATTCGCTGGCCCCGACCCGCCTCCCGCCCAAGGAAGAGGATCGGCTCGAGAGGTTGTATTCGGGCAGCTCCCTGCAGGGAGGGCTTTCAACATGTTTTTTTTTTCCTGAGCTGCATCCCTTCACGTCTGCGTGCAATAATATATTGACTGGCTGCCGCTCCTCCCGTCTACCCCGCTCCTTCCGTGTGCATATGTGTGCGCATAGCGATAGCAAAGCATTGCGTAGCAAAGCATAGCATGGCAACGCGTGGCGATGCATGGGTTCATATAAGCACGGCGTTGCGTAGCGAAGCGTATAGCGTTGCGCCACATTGCGTGGTAAACATGCAGCCGCTCAGCCGAGCAACCAAACTAGCAAGGATAGCGAAGTGTCTGCGAAACCATTTATTTATTCGGCCAAATCCAACTTAGTAGTTGGATCTGCTATCCTCCATAACCTTAGGGGTAACTAGATATATCCCGCCTAAGTGGTTAGGAAGTAGCCCGCCGATTCAAGTATGCGCGGACTGGGTGGCCTCCCGGGGAGCTCAGGCTGGACCGGGCCCACTCGCTGGGTGATTTGCGGCGAGTGCGGCGGCCGCCGCGCCCGGGCAAGGCGAAGAGGGCGCCGCCATGAATGTCGCCCTCGCCGCCGCAAGCCCGGTCGCCAGGTTGGGGGCCCCAGAGGCGGGCGAGGATGCAGGCGCGGCGCCGCGACGACCAATCGTCGGCCCGCTGTTGGCGGAGGGCGCCCCCCCGCGGCGCCGAGCGCGATCCCGCCGATTGGGCGCGCGCGCGACCGCCGAGAGATCGGGAACCGGCGCAGGTCCTCATCCATAATGCTTTCGACCAGAGCAGCTCGCAGGTCTCCCGGGGCGCAGTATTGCATGAGCTGGAACGAGTTGCTCGATCGACGGGCCGTCGTCGGTACTCGGCGGAAGCGTCGAGCGGGTCGGGCAGGCGAGGCGCAGACCAAGTGGGTGGCCAGAAGCGGAAGTCGCCACGCATCCGACTGCAGTAGAGTTACGGGGCCTGGGCGTGGAGCACCGTGGCCAGGTGGTCCACGCGCCGGTTACCCATGCGAGGGTTGCAACATAATGGTCCACATGCTCCAGTCGCCCGACGAAGTTGGCGAGCCAGCTGGGCCGCGAAGCGACGCCGCGCTGACATCAGTGGACATGCGACCCTTCTGTTCGAGAGGAGGCAGGAAGAGGGTCACGCGCCAGCGCCTACAGGAATGGATGCAAACATGTTTCTGCCCACGGCTGGCAGTGCACAGCGCCGCCGACTTCGAGGCCCGACTGAATTCGATTTTGCGGCTGAGGTGTGAGCAGATCTATTTCGACCAGAGTGCGCGCAACGAGCGATGCAAGCAGTGGGCGCAGCAGGCGTTCGTCGGAAGTGGCACTGGCCGAGCGCGTAGATCGACCAAGTTCAAGGCGTTGCAGGAAGCGTTTAGAGCGACCACGCAGGGGGCGCCATGCCAACTGGCGGAGGGGGGTGATGGTGTGGAAGCAGGTCTGGACGTGCCATGACTTGGATCCGCTTCGGCTTCCTCCCGACAGCGAGAGTCGGGGTGATTCGATTGAGTTGACAGGGCCTGGCTTGCGCCCTGTAGTTGTCCCCTGAAGCGCGCGCACTGCGCAATTAGGAACCACCTGTTCCCCGCAGCGCGCGCACAGACACCTGGCGCGCGAGGTCAGCCTCGTGCATTTCAATGTCCAGCGTCGCGGCCTACGCGGCTGCAATCTGCAGTCGCGCCAGGACTCGCGCTAGTTGAGTTTGGTTTTCCAGGTCGGCGCTGGGCAGGTTCGCCGACGGCTGGGCCAGTGGAATCGCCTAGCGCGGCGGGCGAGAGAAATACTTCTGACGGGGGCGCACCGATGGGGGCGGCAACTGCGCGGAGACATGCTAGCCCAGATGTTTCATCATACGCATTGCTGTTGGCGCGCGCAACGAGATGCCGGCTGCTCCCGCTGGCAAAGGTGCGCGGCAGGTCCACGGCATTCTGCCGGCCGACGCTGGCAGCGCCTTGCGCCGATCAGTTCTTGTACTCCGCCACGGCCTGCACAGTCGCACACCGAAGCAAAATGGGCGCGTCGATGCGCGATTGCCCAGCACTCTGTGCCACGAATTCCCGTTGGCGCGACGCTCCGAACGACGCGCTTCAATTGTCATGGCGCCCGCGCGCCCGCCCGAGCGAGCGGCTGCCGGCCAGGCGCGAGCCTGGCGCGGCGCGCTGGCGGCGAAGCGGCCAGAGCCAGAACGACCGCGGCGATGTACGCAGTGGCGTTGCAACGCGCGTCACGATTGCGATTGCGATTGCGATTGCGACGATGGCGCAGGAAACACCCCCGCAAGGCGCCGGGGACACCGCGCGGGCACCATCGGATCACCACGCGGGCGCCCTGTTGAGCAGAGCAACCGCGGTGTGGTTGCGGAGGGGCAGCGACGGGACGCCGACGGGACACCCACGGGACACCGACGGAACACCGACGAGACACCTTGGCACACCGTCGGGACGCCAACGGAACACCGACAGGACACCACGGCGGGACAACCCAGCCACCGCCGGTTTACCGCGACGGGGCACCGACGGGACAGCGACGGGACATCGCATGCGGCGGGACACGCGGGTCACCGCCGGACCGTTGGGTCAACGGCTCGGGCCCGGCCTAGCCACAACGGGGTGATATCTGTAGCCCGCCCATGCAGCTTCTCCTTGCACGCGCGACACGTACCCGAACCGAAACCGATTCTCCGGTAGGTGGATATCCGTCCGATTTCGACCCCCCCACACAAACTTCCGATATATGATATACCTGGGGGGACTTCCGAATGATTTCGACGCCCGGGGGATATCACGATTGTCAGGGATACCAAATGTAGTGCGCCATTTCATCCTGAACGCCCCAAAATATCCCTAATTGTTTGACATAGTTGTTCTGCACATGTCAAGTTGGAGGGTGATCATCAGCACCCAGGTGTTGTCGTGTTTTTTTCGATTGGTGCCTTTTAAAGTCTGGAGTGTGATTGTTGCTCTGAACTATTATGGGATGTTCCGTAGGAAATGTCGCCAGTGTGTGTTGGTTGGGTCAGTTTTTTCTGTCAGGTGTCAGTGCAGTGTTGTCCGGCGAAATGTTTTGATGATTTCGTCGGATATGGTATTTGTTAAGTTCGTCGGGGGGTTCGTTTTCAATTCGATGTTGATGGAATGTGTTCCCGGGAAACTGTTTTGGAGTTTGCAAGTCCGTTTTTGGAGATTTTCGGAGGGACCGGTCTGCCACAATTGTCACACCCTCGTACATTATGTTTTTCATCCTCTCCCCGTCTCTGACCCCATTCCCCCTGTTTCCTCGCTCGTTCCATCTCCCTCTCCACGTCGACTTCTGAGATGCGTCCAGTGTTCCTGATCGCGCGATCCGTTGCCTGAGGCACGGGCCAGAATTGTTGCAGGTTTCTTGACGAGACTCTGGCTGCGCAGGTCGTGCTACACCACAGGACCCCAAGTCCTCGTGTTCCCCGCTTTCTACCTTGCGGAAAAAAAACAACGGTCGACGTGCCGAAGTCATGCCCGCGAGAGAGAACACTAACGCCACCACCAGGCGTGCCACTTCTGCCAAGGAGGCCGACGCTGCCTCCCCGAGCTGGGACAAAAGGATCATCGACCGGGGAGGGGGGGGGGGCACACCACTAAGGCGACCCCCCAGCATGGCTCGTCGCGCTGGTGGTGGTGGTGGTGTTATGCTTCCCCACATGCTCAGTGGGGTTCTGGTTTTCTTCCCTGCCGCGTCGCACCCGCGTCTCACGCACACACCTCCCTCGCGGCCCTCAGAGCACAGTTCAGCACTGCTCAGCACAGCTCAGCTCAGCACAGCACAGCACAGCACAGCACAGCTCAGCTCAGCTCAGCACAGCACAGCACAGCACAGCTCAGCTCAGCAGAGCAGCGCAGCACAGCACAGCACAGCACAGCACAGCACTGCTCAGCACAGCTCAGCACAGCTCAGCTCAGCTCAGCACAACCCAGCACAGCACAGCTCAGCTCAGCTCAGCACGCGCAGCATAGCAGGAGTGGCATTTCCCGACACCGTAGGGGGTGCGCAGGGGGTGGTCCCTGAGCGCGGCCGCTATCCGAGCCGGTCGTCCAGGGCATAGCAGGAGTGGCAT